ATATATATATATACATGCTATTGTTACCTGAAATTTGCAAATATTTTTTTGCAGTAAAATTCTTTGAAAGTAATATAAAAAAAAAAGTTATTAAAGACCAGCTTGTTATGATGCAAGTATGCCTTTTTTTAACTGTATAAGTGCATATATTTGCATATATAAACTGTTTAAATGAATATATTTGCATATTTATACTTAAAAAATAGGGAAAGTCTTAGTATAAGAGTATTCTTTTTTACTGCATTTTTCCTTTTTTTGTTGCAATATTCTACAAACTTAGTACAAAGTATAATAAAATGTTTTAATTTGATAATAATCTCTAAGCAATTTAACTTGTAGGATAATTTTTTTTATAATAATTTTAGTTTTTAGTTATTTTAATATTGATTAGACTTATTTGACTTACTAAATATTTACAGTTGGAAAGGAATGGCGTTAAATCTGGAACATCTTCAACACATAAACTAATGAAGGAAACAGTTCTAAAAGTAGTTCTATATTATATTTGCAGGTTGATCATTATTTGTGTAATGCTTTTGTGACATAATTATCATAGATTTTTTACTAAAGTATACATAGCAAAAGTTTCATCTGCAACCAGTTTTTGCACAACTTTTGTTAAAGAATTGTGCAAATTTTGTATTGAAGCTATTTTTAAAATTACCAACTCTTGTTTGTGAACGACAATTGATGAAAATGAAGTGGGAGATCACAAGAAGCTTGTGATCACAAATGCTATAATTGTAATATAACATTAAGAGCAAAAAATCAAACAAAACATTTTAGACAGATAAACATGTGAAATTTTATGGAAAAAATATACAGGCCTTGGCGGGAAGCGAGAGCTTTATCTCTCGGTCTTGCCCACACTCCCCTAAAACGGTTTACGGGAGCAATCTACGGCTCTCGCAAAAGTATAATTTTTCTTAAGAAAGTATAACTATCGTTGTAATTAAAACTAAAAACACTATGTCATTTATAAAAAAATAATTGCATATTATACCTTAATGCTTTTTAAAAAAGCAGGGTTGTTGCAAAAAAAAAATTAAATTAAAAAGAGCGTTGATTTATATAAGGAGCAGCTTGCACAGCTCCCCAAGTTCGTTTTAGGAGAGCTTTTCTCTGTTCTTGTAATCATTTATTCCTGCCGAGGCCTGTACACACACACACACACATATATATATATATATATATATATATATATATATATATATATATATATATATATATATATATATATATATATATATATATATATATATATATATATATATATATATATATATATATATATATATATATATATATATAGTCAGAAAAATAGTAATTAATAAAATTGCAAAAAAATAATTAATGAAATTGCACTTTGATATATAAGGAAATAGTCATAACAGTAAAAACAAATTTTTATATGGAAAAAAAGTTGAAGCATGGACCAGAAAAATTTCATGCATAAAGAACATATTTATCTGAAGTTTAAAAAGTTATTGAAATCCTACAGTCAGATTTTTAGAAAATTGATTTCAAATAAATAAACAAATCTAGGATTTACACTAAAAAGGTATTAAATAAAAATAAAATTTAAACGCGTAAAATATTTTTGTTACCTCTATTTATTTATATTTTTTTGTTAAATTTTTGTATTTTTATATTGATTTACGTTAAACATAAGGCTACATCATTGTCTTTTCATAAATTAATTAACAAATAATCTGTTGCCATATAAAATATTCTCTGTAGTTAAGTACCGTAGCCATTTTAAAAGTTCAAAAGTTTTTCGTATTTTCTCACGCATGCGTACCTAAACATAGCGCTTTTTACTAATATCTTAACGACCGTGCAGCACGTACTATTTCATTATGAACAACAGCAGTTTTATGAAAACGAACATTGTCTGAAATTAAGATATCTCCAATAACTTCATTAACAGCTAATTGTGCTAATACTAAACGAATAAAATCTAAAAAGCTTTCTGTATTAAATGCTCTTGTTTGTGCTTCATATTTCAAAATTCCGTTTTTGTTCATTGTACAACAGACGGAAATATTTCTTAACCGTATATTGGTCACTGTTTGTGTGACCCTCTTTCCAGCTAAAGAACGTCTTCTTCTAACTCGCATTGAAAGACTAAATCCTACTTCATCAATAAAGAACATTTTATTGTTATTGATAGAAGACAAAATGTTTATGAATCTTTCTGCATAAGAAGCACTTTCATTAATAACGTCTTCCGAATTTCTTCTCTCTGGAATATTGTGAACATGTTTCAAAGTATAATTAAAACTATCAATGCATCTTGCTATAGTAGATTGACTGACTGAAATGGATTTTCGTTCAATTTCCTTAAGAGTTATTCCACAATTATCATCAATTCAATTTTTGATTAGTACCTTGGATTCTTCTGTTATTTTTTTGTTTCTAGAACCACCTTTTAATTGCCGTTCTATCGGCAAACCATATTTATATTTTTTAATAATCGAATAGATTGTAGTTCGTTTAAATCCAAGAATATTTGCAATTTCTGATGGTGAGTTTCCATTTAAGTAAGATTCGATTATCCTTGAACGGTTTTCATTGCTGATTGTTTGATTCGGCATTGCAGTTTATAAATATTGAAAATGATATTTAAGCTTTTATTATGAACTTTTATTGTATTGAAGAGTTGAATACTTTTATTAAGTTAATAAAAAATTATAACAATTTATTTTTTGATGACAATTTAATATGTATTGTTGGGATAATTTCCAAAGCGTAGATATTTTTTTTTGGCAATTAGACATAATTTATCCGGTCAATAAAAATAATGAATATAGCAATTAAAAACAACTATTATACGAAATGTGATGCAACAGTGTTGAAATTGAATGCAAAAGTATCGAAATGTAGTGATACAATGTCGAAATTGAATGCAAAAGTGTCGAAATGTAGTGATACATTGTCGAAATGAGGTGAGAAACCCTGTATATCTCTCCATGATTTTATTTTGTGTTGTAGTATTTTTGCTGGATTTAAAAACAAATCGCTATACTCTAAATAAAGAGATATAAAAAACCTTTTTTAAAATCCGGTAAGTATACTACCAACTTTTATCTAGACATTTATTAATTCAATTATAATCTAAAAATTTATTATTAGTTGTTCAAAAAGCTCAAAGTAAAAAAATAACTATAAACGAACTCTAAATATTGTTTACGCATTTTTTAAACTTCCATCTTTTATTAACAATGCTCCAATTGCCTATGACGTTTGAAACAATATCATTGGATAATTTTTTTAAAAAGCAGAATGTGATTGGTTAATTTTAAACTATAATAATTGCTATAATAATATCTAAAATAACAAATATCAATAATTACTCGGTCTAGCTAAGGCGGTTTTCTCTTTTTTCAAACCTCTATTCCGACGTTGAGCATCCTTGACGTCCGAAAACCGGGATTTTTACGGGATGGGCAAATTGGGATATATATATATATATATATATATATATATATATATATATATATATATATATATATATATATATATATATATATATATATATATATATATATATATATATATATATATATATATATATATATATATATATATATATATAACATATATATATATAAATATTAATTTTAAGTTGATTAAGGTGCCCCAAGAAGTCCTTACGGTCTTATCACAGAGCACCGCGGAAGAGCATTTAATGGGAAGTTCACGCCTCCTTTCCAACCGATGTCGCAAAACTTGCCCAGAGGTGGGGTTTGAACCACGGATCTTACGTTTCTGAGGCAAGTGCGCTACCATTGCGCCACGGCTGCTTAATATAGGGATAGGCGCATCGCAGTGTGAACATCGACTGATTTATATAGCCATAGCCACAGTGAGTGTGCATACATTGACTAAGGGTTTGGGGTTGGGCAGGTTAGATTAAACTGAAAGTTTAATCTTTTTCATGTTTGCGGACATAAATATTTACAAAGACCATTTCTTGTAATTTAATTATACTCTTGTATTTTACATTTTATAACAGAATCATTTATTAAAGTATGAAAAACAAAAATTAAAGTAATAAAAAATATTTAAATCACAAAAAAAACTTTTTTGCGTGTGTATGTGGGGGTGGGGGGGAGGGGGAATTAAAATTTGTTGCATAATTTTAAAAAGGTCATTAAAGCGTGATATTTTGTAACTAGGGGAGGGGTCCAAAACTGTCAAACATTACGTGACGTATTATATGGACGACCGATAAAAACATCATCTAAACAGTGGCCCTTGCATAATTACGTCACGCTCGAGAGTGAGTGGGTGGGTTCCTTGAGAACGTGACAAAACATGACGTAGGTGGTTGAGTTGAGACAAAAGTGACGTCACGCAAGTTGCATTTAATAATAGACCGTCTAAATCAAAAGAATATTGACTGCAACAAAACATATAAATTTATTATATTTTACTATAAATAAATTATTTTATAATGGAAAATGCTACAATGCATTGTTCCGTGGCGTCAAGTGGTTTGTGATTTAAGTAGTTCTTAATTAATAAATATTTAAAATGTGTTTACACGTTTTTTTAATTTAAAAAACAAAAACAAACAAATGGGCTAGTACTAGAAATTTTCTAAACTTTTTAAAGTTATTAAAGGTTTCTTCTTAAACGTTAGACTATCAAAAGAAAGAAAAACTGAATGGTATTCGAATACTCTTTTCTTTTGCGTGCTGAAATTAAATTCTCGTTCAAGCTGATCTCCATTGTAGATAAATAGTTCAATTTCGTGTAATATTTTTTTTTTTTTTTAATTCTTATTTAGGTGCCCCTAGAAGTCCTTACGGTCTTATCACAGAGCACCGCGGATGAGCATTTAACTGGAAGTTTACGCCTCCTTCCTAACCGATATCGCTACCGAAGACTTTTCCAGAGATGGTGTTTGAACCATGGATTTTTTTGTTTCTGAGGCAGCTGCTATTTTTGACGTTACGTAATTATGCAATGACCCCACACGAATCAAGCTCTTACGCGCACTATTTAAAAATATTTTGCGAAAACCGAAAGCGTGGGCAGTCATTGTAATATAAAATGGCGGCTCGAAAAAATGTAAACATCAAGAATGAAAGTAAAGTTGTGCAAGATGTAAATAGCATACAAAATAAAATGCCAAATGAACATTTAATAAAAAAGATAAAAAAGAAAGATAAAGAAAAAAATAGTTCATGGAAGTATATACTTAGCAGCAGTCTAAAATGCATTGCCTTCATTTTAGTGCTGCCTCCTTTCTTGAACTTTGCTGCATTAATTCAGGAAGAAAAAAGTTTTAAACCAGAAGGTTAGTATTTTAGTATTTTTTTAAATCGACTGTTTTATTAGTATTTTAGTAATTTTTTATATCGACTGTTTTATTGGTAATTACATTTCTGTAGGCCTTATAAGTTATATCATTTTTATATATTTGTATGACTTGATTTGTTTTTAAAAATTTGTAGTTGATTTTACATCAAATTGAATAAAAAATCAAGCTATTTTCTATTTAAGTGTTACATAATTACATAATTTAATTTCTGAATAATTGGCTGAAATTTATCAATTTTAAGTATAAAAAGTTTCAATGACAAATTTAATCATGTTAAGGAATGCTATCCCAAATGAGAGACATAGTCAACTATAAAACACTTGACGCCACGTATTTATCATCTCATTTAAATAGCTGAAATAAAAATAAACTTTTAAATAACAAAGATCAAACTAGCATTATAAAACACTCATAAGTTTCCTAATAGACAGTTTTTTATATATTTTATCTATTCAACAAACCGTTTCTTATTTTTTAGAAGTTTAAACTAAGTTTAAACTTTTTTTTCGTTTTTCTTTAATTTATTTATAAAATCATTATAAAAAAGCGTCCGCCATTGCGGAAGTCTCTGCACTCTTAAAATGTGTTTTTTTTTTTTATATTTGATAAAAGCCAAAATATTTTAGATTTTAGGTTTTATCAAATTTAAACAAGAGTTTTATCAAATATGAAGTTAGTATGGATGCCAAAATATTCAAAAAAATACTATGCATTGAACCAAACAAAAATATATATACTGGAAAAAAAATGCTAGCAATTTATCTAGATAAATAAAGATACTACATCATACGATGATGAATCAAAATATTTAATAACAAGTATAAAAAGCACAGCTATATAATGTACTACAAACTTCGTTCTTCTAAGCAACAAGAAAGAGAATCAATTAAAAGTTTCATGAGCAACCTGAAACAATTTGCAAGAAAATATCCATCAAAACCCGTAACAGGAGAACAATAATAATTTACTAATATGTGGCATTTTTATTGCTAGAATTTACTCACCTTCTATTTGACAACGACTCCTAGAAGTTATAGAAGACACTCTAGTGGCACTTCAGCACTTTACAATGGAATTGGTCACCAAAGATGTTCTTAATTTGAAAACTACCACAACACCTAATACCACGCTACCAACTTTTGCCACAGGTCATAGCCTTACAAAATAACTCAACATTAAAAATAAAAAGAATCTTCCAAGACTCATTGTTGTTAGCTTGCAAAAAATTGAACATGCAATTGGTCATTGTAGACAACTTAGTGGCACCGGTAATTTCTGGAATGGAGGTCTTAACACAATTATTATCGATTTTAAAAGAAATAAAGAGCCTTTAAAATTCTGTCTAGCAACAAAAAGCATGATATGTACTACTTATGCATTAATGTCTGGAGTTGATATTAACAAAATTAAACCAGTCACTACAACATTATGACAGGTTCCCATAAATAACTCCTTCATAACAGACAAGATAAACCCTAATATAAAACAAGATATAACTCAAGTGAGCGGTAGATCTTGGCCTGATCACCAATCAACAGGTCAACAGAACAAATCAACAGGAAACAAAAATCATCTTGTGATAAACTATTTTGTAGTTCTTAATTATGTTTAACTTTATATTTGATAAAAGCCAAAATATTTAATATTACTAATTCTTATAATAGTGGTATCAAAGTAAAAAAACAGTCCTAATCTTTATTCAATCTAAAAAAAATCTCAGTCCTAATCTGTAATCAATCTGCAAACAGTAACTAAGGGAAGGATTGAATCAGTTTAGTAAATAAAACAAAGTTTTGATATCTGAGATATCAAAACTTATTTTTGAGAAATAGATAAAGGTTGTTTTGCCCTACAAAATTTATGCTATCCCAAGTTACCACCCTATAGCTGTGATAGATAAAAAAAAATGCATAAAAGTTTGCCATAGAAGCTCGATTTTGAAATTTTTATAATTTTAGGAATTATGATTGATGTAAGACATGGACAAAAGTTGTATAAATCATGTTATGGGCAAGGTACACCAACAGGTACTTAAATTTTTTTTTTTACAGAAGCTTTTTAGATATAGGACATTTCCAAAAAATCACGCACGGAAATTCGTATATGTTTTGTCTATTATTTTTATAATAAAACTGGCGATCTCCAATGCTCCAAACGCTCTCATTTAATTCTAACCTACATAAATATTTTGTAAACAAAAAATGGCATATATTAGTAATGTTAACAGAGAATAAATTAAGTTTAAAGCGGAATCACACATAGAACAGAAAAACTCATTTTAGTTAGTAGATAAATAAACTTTAATTCCTCAGAAAATATAAATTTCAGCATTAAATATATATATATATATATATATATATATATATATATATATATATTAATATATATATATATATTAATATATATATATATATATATATATATATATATATATATATATATATATATATATATATATATATATATATATATGTATATATATTAATATATATATATATATATATATATATATATATATATATATATATGTATATATATTAATATATATATATATATATATATATATATATATATATATATATATATATATATATATATATATATATATATATATATATATTAATGTTTTAAACATTAGTAAAGCTTTCCAGAAAGTTAAAGGATTGCTCTATGTATTATAGAGTTACAGCAATTGTTTAAATGCAGTTCATGAATGATCACGCACAGAAGTTACAAGTTTATTAATTTCATGTAGATATTTTTAAGAAAATAAATTGCTTGTGAATATTTTAAGTGAAATAATTTACTTCTATGACTCATATTTAATATATTTTCGATGAGAAATGGCAGTCATCAATTTTTGCTATAATATAAATCATCATATTTTTGCTATAAATGTTTTTAAAGAAAATCATAATAGTATTCATATTGCTTGAAGTCCCAGCTTTTAATTGGTAAAACAAAGAAAAGTAAAAAATCACGCACAGTAATGGAAATGTTCTATAGTTAATTTATTTTTTTAATGACAACATAAGTAAATATTTGTATATGAGCACTAAAGTTTCTGAGTAATTGTCTTTAAGCATTTTTATTTTTATTGAAGTTATTCTGGATGCTCCAATTGGTTACTCTTCAGATATATGGAATTTAATATATCCAGAAATAGCAAAAATAACAAAAGTATGTCATTATTTTTTTATTGTTTTTTAATTGTTATGTTTCCATATTGTCATATTTGTTGTGTTTTATGTTGTTATTTATGTTGTTGTTTTTTTGTGGTCAATTGATCAATTGTTGAAAGTGTCAATATTTTGTTATAAATAAATCATTATATTACTAATTGTATATTATATATTAAGGAATAATAATTATAATTATTATAAAAAAATAAATCAATTTACAGTGCTTATAAATACTTTATATTTATTAAAATTTTAATCATCACACCGTTAAAATTAAAGAACCTAAATGCCAACACTCCACTTCCATCCTGCATCAGTACAGCACTTTTTTAGACAGATGTTATATATAATATATATTAGAATTTTTTTATATATTAGAAGTTTTGGAGTATTTTTTTCTCTGAGTTTTATAACCTTACTACTTTCTTACTAATATTGGAGCTATTTATTATTATCTGATATTTTTATTGATTTTCTTGTATATAACTTTAGATTTTTTTTTTTTTTATTTTTTTTTATTTTAATTCACCTCCTCAAGGCCGAGACGGTCACTACAGACGAGGAGGCTACTTATTTGTGGCTATAACCCTCTCTCAACTCTATAACTCCGAAACACGAACCTTGACGAACAAGGCTGCTGTGCGGAGAAACGAGTTGAGCGCGGTACTACCAGGGACGTGGTGGGGATTGAACTCGGAACCACTCGTTTATGAAGCGAGCGCTCTACCACTACACCACTACCGCATAATTAATTGATAACAAATCAATAAGATTTATTGATTTGTAATCAAAGAGATTTTTTTAATATGTTTAATTAGGCTTTTTAATTGAAATTGCAGCAGATAAATTATATGCGGTAGTGGTGTAGTGGTAAGAGCGCTCGCTTTGTAAGCGAGAGGTTCGGAGTTTAGAGAGGGTTGTACCACGATTTACAACAAAAAAAAAATGAGTAGCCTCCTTGACTGTAGTGGCCCCCTCGGGCCTTGGGGAGGTGAATAATTAAAAAAAAAAAAAGATAAAAAATTCAATAGGTTTTTTAACATAAAGTTAATAAACAAACATTAAAACTTTAACTAAACGATAAGACATGCTTTTTTTTTCCAACAAAGTTTCCAACACTTTTAATAATTTAATTTTTTTTTTTGGAGAAATGATTGATTTTATCACTTAGCAAATGTTATGTTTATTAGTATGTACACTTGCCAATACGGTGTACACTCTTCTGCGTCTATGGCTATATCAGTTGACATATATGTACTTCATTGTGACAATTGCTATATCTGCTAAAACCTGGCTTACTTGTAAAAACTGAGTTTGTTCTACACCTACAATTTATACTGTCAGAATGGTAGGTCTGTTCTGCACATACTCATAGAATGTGCCTGCCAACTATAATCTATTTATATTTACAAAGATAAAAATATGTTAGAAATATGTTGTTTTTTTCATATTATTTTGCATTTTGTAGCGTAATATCTTTTTAGAATTAATGTAATTTAGGTTTGTATTTATGATCGTGCAGGATTAGGATACAGTGAAAAACCAAAGGTATTCTCAACTTTTCTTTTGCTTGAAATTTTTAAAATAGAAATGTAATCTTTTAGTTAATTAACTAAAATTGTAAATTCTATTGTTTAGTTAGGTAATGAAACTAAAAATGGTGGTCACCCATACACAGTTGAAAGGTGATAATCTATTTCAATTATTATTTTTTTTTAAAGTTTAAAAAATGACAAACATGAGATTGGAATTTAAGCAATAGTTATGCTTTTTCCCTAATTAATATATTCTCAAAAACCCTTTTTACTGTACTTCCCCTTGTATCTCCCTTGTCTTATCTTGACTCCCCTTCTTTTGATTTGCTTTTGATGAATAAGTAGAACTTTTTCTTATTGCATAGGAAAAAAAATGCATGAAAATGCATGACTCTTTGAAAATAATATTAAAGACAAATTATTTTTAGAATGGTGGAAGATTTTCATAGATTGTTTGATGTTGAAGAAAAACCATTAGTTCTTGTTGGTGCAAATCTTGGTGCGTCCATTGCAAAATTTTATACGCAAGTTTTTTCAAAGTATGTATATTTTTTTATTTACAAAAGTTTTATAAAATTAGTAATAATAAGATTTTTTTAAATGATAAACAATTTTTTTAAATAAAAAATGGTAATAAAACTTTTATACTTATATTTATACATTATATAATGATATTAAACCGATAATTCTACTACTATTATAATAAAACTACTGCTGCTGCTACTACTGCTGCTGCTGCTGCTGCTGCTGCTGCTGCTGCTGCTGAAAGAGTCTTTGTGTAAACAAGATAAGTGCGTGGGATAAAATTTAAGCATGTTTTATTTTTTAAAAGGTTTTTGTTATAGCTTTGTAATATAAACAAAATTAATCTTCATTTTTTTTTTATTGTATTTTGAATTTAACATATTTGGACAACTATTTTTGCTGTTACTAAAAAATCTCATTATTTTTATTTTCAAAAGATTTACAGGAACTTACAAAAACTTACTTTGTATGATCAAGTTTTTTGATGCAAAATCATCAACTAATTCGTTTAGTTGATGATTTAATTCAAAATATAATAAAAAAAAAAGAGGATTAATTTTAATTATATTACAAAGCTATAACAAAAACCTTTTAGGCAGGTATTAGAATTCAGCTGATTTATGTCAGACATGAAATAACATGTATTATAACAAGGGTTTTCACGGCATTTCAGTTCATATATAACATGAGAAATAAAAAATAATACAAACAAATTTGTGAATCTCAAAATAAACAAATAAAAATAACAGTTAAATTTTCAGCTGCTTGCTTACCAAAATCACAAAAATTGTATGCTTTAAATATGTAAATTAGAAGAAATATGTTTTTGTCTAGAATACAATTTGTTTTTTTTATTAAAAATGAAATAGTTTAAAGTTTAGAAATGTATTTTTTGTTTAACTAACCTCTGCCATTTTAGTTAACTATATCTGCCATTAATCCTACTAGTATCATACTGTGAAGCTAACCAATCATCGTCATTTTGCAAAACCTATAAAAAATGTTTACATTTTTTAACAAGGTGAACATTTTTTATAGGTCTTTATAAGCTTTAAGACTGAGTTTTTACTGAATTAAATGCTATTATTCAAATGATCTTTAAGTTCTGATTCACAGGGTGATAAAGAAATTTTGCCATCATAATTTTCACATTATCACTTGAGTTTATAAAAAAGCTGTAAATGGTTTCTAAGTCTTCAAACTTCTTTTACAAAAAAAATCATTAAAAAAATCTTTTTTTGGATCTTCTGCACTTGAATGCCTTTTTGAAGGCAAAATTTTTGTTTTAAGTCCATTCTTTAAGCGCACCTTTGATGGTTTGATGCCTTAAGGTTGTCACAATCATGTTATCTTGAAGTCAAATGTCTTTTTATGCGAATAACTTGATAATGAATATGATGATGATGAAGATGATCATAGTGATGATGACCATGATGATGACAATGATGATAATGATGACTATGATGATGATAATGATAAATGAGACTACTTCATAACATAAGGGCACCTGGCATAACATTAGAATCAAACTGTATTAAGTAGTAATAATCTATTATAACTGCTGCTGTTGCTACTACTACTACTACTACTACTATAAACGTAAAATCTTCAGCGTAATAGCCCTAATGTTTCATAAACTTTTCGGGTCAAAACCGTCAGGCTAGAAAATTTTTTTTTGAAAAAAATGATTTTTTTATTCAGATTTAAGATATTTAAATGTAATAAATAAAATTCAGTTTCATTTAAAAAGTTTTTTAGGTAAATTTTAAGCACCACGGCACAATGTAAGTACTGTTTTGTAACATTAGGGCTTTTGCCGTTTCTCCTTCGAAAATCAAAAGAAACAAAAAAGGGAATAATTGTAGCTAAATTTAATGGTAAATCCCTCTTATTATTTTCAAGTTCCTTTGTTTTCCCTCATTTTTCACTTAGAATAGCCTGTTACTACTATTAAACTTACTTTTTCAACTTTTTCAACGGCAGAGTAATAAAACTGAGGTGAAAATTTTGCTGGGTTTGTTTGTATTTCATGCATTTTATAAGTTTCAAAAATATTTAGTAGTAAGAGTTTATTTTTGTGTAATCTTGTTCCTCTCTATGAAAATGCAAGAAATAATTATAAAAAATTTAATTAGAGCATAAAAAATCAAAGTTTATTTTAAAATTACAGTTTTTTTTGTTGCAACATTAGGGCAATAACTTTTTTTTATATTTCTTTAGTCATATAACTTGTGAAATGAGATGTTTTATCTCCACACAAATATAAAATGGTAACTAAAAATATTTTTTATTAAAATTTTAGATTAATTTATAAAATAATTTTGTCCTGGCCATTTTTATAGTTACATTTCATTGAGGATACTGGGGCTAGTTGGGCACAGACTTTAATGGAATCTTTGCGCTTCTCTATAGTCTCCTACCTAGAACTATTTTAAATCAAATCATTTATTCATCTTAACTATTATTAATTAGCTTAAGTGTCACTTAATTAATTTATAATTTAATATAGTTTTTAGGTATTTCAAGAATGCGCATAAAAGTTATTGCATCAATATCTTTTATGCGCACTTTTATACCAAAAAAAAAATACCAATTTTTTTTTTGGTATTTTTTATTTTGCTACAATATTGATCACCTAGACTAATAAAAATAGTATATTACTGTTTTTATACGTTCAATTTTCAAAAGATTTAAGTAGTAAAAAACAGGAGCTTATTGGCTAAGAACAGTTTTTATTCCTCCGTGATACTTCACTTCTTGAACTTTTTTTTGAATAAACTCATCAAATGCGGTAGGCTTGTTCTTATGAGTATACTCTCATTAAAATATCTATAAGTAACAATGGTAAGGAAGGCGGGACGGCACTCTGTGATAAGCAAAGCTTCTAGGAGCACTTTTATAATTAAACAGATGTATTTTAAAACAAAAAAGCAAAGGCTGTTTCAAACCGAGCATTACGGCTTCTTGTTATTTTGTGAAAATATTGACTTGAGGGGTGTTACTAAAACATTTGCAACTTTTGAAATATTTAAAATATCTTTGTTTTGTAAAAACAATAAAAACACCAATAAAATATTTCATCTTACGACATATTATACAAGAGTAAAAAAACTTCTTATAGTTTAGAATAGGCTCGACTAATGATGAACCTTGCTAAATTTTAGTAATTTGATGTTCATTTTTATAAGAAAAAAGTCAGAAAATATGTATTTCTGATATTTATTATCAAATGCATTGATTGTTTGACTATTGTAAAAATAAAAAAAAACCTTACTTAATAGGTTTTATGGAATTAATTGAACAATAAAAGTTTCTAATCGATTCCCAAAAAGGGTTTAAGTCAGGTAAAAAAATGTAAATTTCAATTTTAAAGTTACTTAACAGTTTTCTGTTTACAAAAAATTGTATAATATGTATGATGACATTAGGAAAAAATATTTCTGTATTACTTTAATAAATGGAATTATTAAAAACTACTCTGATCACCACTTTATATTAATGCTCAGTCAAAATGTCCTAGAGAAACCTGAAACAAAAAAAAATTAACTAATGTTTTTTAATTCAATAGTTATCAAACCTGTTTTTTTATTTTATTCCAAATTTTTATAGGAATCTATAAGACTACGGTTACTTTTAAAAGTTAAATAAAAAATAAAAGTATCTGAAGCATGAGTTTCAATTCTGGCTCTGACCAGATAAACAACATCGGTTTAGAAGGTGAAGATGTTGGTTAAAGTACTATTCTGCGGTGCTCTGTGATAAGACCGTGAAGTTCTTAGAGCACCTTAATAACTTAAAAAAAAAAGGTAAAATTATTTTTAAGTTATTAAATTTATTCAAACAAAAACCCGATACATAAACAATAGTGATAAAAATTTTGATAATTTATTGAATTTAAAGTTTATGAATAATCCGCTTTTTAAATTGTGTTCGACAGTGATATCCAAATTGTAAAACTTTATATGCAACCGGCACACCACAACAACATATTTTTATGTCATGCTAAATCTTTAGTATGAGGTAAACTCTACTTTTTTTCATCTTAAACTTCAACAGCGCTCGACCTGCATTTTGAGAACTCCACTTACAATTCTTAGACATAAGCCGCGGCTTGCCATTTGTTACCATCCTAACAAATCAAAAAATCAAACATTAAAATTCTGAAAAACAAAATTTCTCTAATAAAAATCTAGCAATTAAAATCAGGATAGGTATTTTTTTTTTTTTTAACTTTTTATTAAACTGATAAATTTTTTAGTAAGAACTTAATTACTAATAATACTTTTAATAGTACTATTACAATAAATTTAAGTACTATTAAAAAAAAATAATAATTCAGTATAAAAGTTGAATAATATAAGGTATATAAAAATGTGTGAATGTATTTTTATATTAATATAAATTATTAATTTTATTAATATGCAATACACACACACATACACACACGCTCAGACACACATAAACACACCGTGACACACACTTACTCACACGCGCGCGCAAAATTATTATTACTAATAGAAATATAAACTTTAACTTGGAAAATTTTTTTAAACTTCTTTTATTGTCCCTGGCCACCAGTATTAAACTTTGTTGCATATTGTCAGATTTATATCCACCTAAAAAGTCCTGAATAAGATATATATATTTTTTTGCACAATCTTTGACGCAAGTCAAATTTTAAACAAATTTTTTGAATAAATCTAATGAACTTGGGGCTTTTCCATCCTCCACAACTGTACTTCACCATCAGGGGCTTCTGCAATTTTTAACATAAGCCAAATTTCTGGACCAAAGTTTCCAAATCACAGTGGACTCCAATATGATTGGTAGCTCAGGTTTTCTAATCTTGAAGTTGAATCTCTTAGTTCAGTATGATGTTCCTTGTCAGGAACATCATACTGAACTAATCTATCCAAAATCTCTTTTCACTTCCTGCTTCCTGCTCATCAGTCAGAGATAGCAACACCAACTGTTCAGTCAAGTACGAGTTGTCTTTGCATACTAGCAACCAATG